ACACACACACACACACACCCATTGAAATGGGTGGGACGGAAGCGGAAGGAGGTTCTTAGACAGAGGCCAATTTCAAGGTGTTTAGAAACGGAAATGAGAAGAAGAGTTTATCTTCTATTTAATCATAAAAAATTGCATTTTAATAACAACTAAAGGTGACATAGATACTTTATTATGGTATAGAACATATGCCTGAGAAACACATAATATTGCCCCTTTAATAATTTCTTCAGATCATCTGTCCAGTTCTGTTTGATTTTTTTTAAATGAGCACCAAGTTTTGTGAGATGTTGTGTTAAAATATGAACAGTTACTGTGAAGAAAATAATGTTATGATGTTTTAAAGATAAACTTTCTTTTTCTTTCAATTCTTGCATCAAACATGTAACCTTTGGCGAGCTGAGATTAACAGATGACCTGAAGCTCCTTCAGAAGARGCTGACATATTCATGGGGACTTTTATGGCTTTGTGGGTTTCCTGTGTGCTGCACACATTCAAACATGCACACACCAGACAATACTGGGTCCTTTTCCCTCCACTGGTCACAGACGTCGACAAATACACACACACATTGTCTGTTTCAAGTACACAAACACACATAGTTCCTCTTGCCAGTCCTGACATGTGCGATTTGATTAGTGACTGCATACTGCCGCACTAAGCAGAAATGAAAACCCTAGAGGACAGCAGATGTTCATACTCACCCTCCCTCACACAACTCCACCCCGACTCTGCGCGCTCCCTCTCTGTCTCATTTATAGACAGGGACACACATTCACACACACACACACACACACATACACAAACAGAAACACACACGTTCCCCTCCCGACTGCTCCGTGTTGGTGTGGAGCCAGAGGGTGACCCAGGGAGAAGGTGCACCTGTTAGTGTTTATTCTTTGCAATATGTCCGCGACCAGAGAATTTAGAGCCACACTTCGCTGGTTTCCATCGCTCTGTTCTTTTAATTTATAACCGACGATTGAGACATAAGATTTGCTTTTTTTACAGCTCTGCAGACCATCAAATCTCTTTAAGTTTGGGGGGTTTTCTCATACTGTCACCTGCTGACACCTCTGTTAATGTGCAGATGGGAAAAAAATACATATATTTTTGCTTAAAAGGCTAGATGAATAGATGAGCCAATCGAAGCTTTTAAAACTGAAATGGACTGCAGGTAACCCACATGGTGTAAAATCAATAGGTAGTTCAGATACTTTAAGCTTCAGCTGAAAACAGTCTGAGTGTGTGTTCAATGAGCTCTTTTCACACACGTGATACATAACATTAATGGTTTCATCAGTGTTTTCAAGTGATGGCATTCTATCAGTCAGATATTGATCGCTTATATATTAATGCCCCTCAGTTTCAGTCAGTCTGAGAAAAAAGCCAGCACAACTGTAATATCAGATATTCATGCAGAAACAACTAAATAAAGCTATATATGAKGTCAGAGTATTCTCACATTCTGAGACGACTCACATCATGTAAACACGTCGAGTGAAACCAACCGATTACAGATGTGAGAAGTTAAAAAAGATGCTTTTCTAAATGTATAAATTTACTGAAAAGTTGGTTTGGAAAAATGGACTGTTTTGAAGTCTTGCTGCACTTAAAGTAACAAAAGTAACCGTTAGTGCTAGAGTGGGGGAAAAGCATTCTCAAAAACCTCTTGTGTCAGAAAAAAAGAGCCAACTGTGTACCTGACAGATCAATTTCAGCATACTTTATGTTTTTCTTTTAACTGGAGTCAGTGATTGAAATGTAAAATGTATAAAACAACGTTTGGGATGAGGATGAAACAAATCTGACAGGAACTTTAGGTTTAGCAGGGGATTTGCTTTTTCTAAAGGAGGAAAAGGTTTTTTTAACCATCCCTTACAATAAAATGCTGCTGTAACTCCTTACTGAAGTGTAGAATGGCAGTAGAAACCAGAGGTTTATAGTAACTAAGTACATTTACTTTGTTACAATACTTCTAAGGATTTGTAATTTTACCAAGTATTTTTTATAATCTTGTTTTACTTTGATTTCGTTACATTTAAAACCTAAAAATGATACTTTTACTTCTTTACTTTAAATTAACCACTTAGTTACTCGTTACAAAATCGAATATATCTGAACTCTTCATGAAAAGTCAAAAAGAAAAAAATTGTATAGGTCCTCTGGACGGGTTCTTCTCTAATGAAACGTTTCGTCTCTCCTCCAAGAGACTTCTTCAGTCTGAGAGTTTCAGGCTAAATTCAGGCTTTTGAGCCCTGCCTCCATGTGACTGATACTCACATCACATGGCTCTTCATGAAAAGTGTTTTGATGCTTTCTAAAAAATGAAGTGTTGAATTTACTCAAGTTATGCAACTGTTCCCATTAAACCTAGTAAAGTAAAAATGAAGCACATTTTATTTAACTTGGTTTAGTGGAACCAGTTTGTTAAGTAAATTCAACAGTTTATTTCTTAGGGAGTGTGTAAAAGTACTTTTACTTTCCTGATATTTGTGAACAGTTTTATCACTTTCATTTAAGTACTTTTCTCATCAGTGAAATTTATTTTTACTAAAGTCATTTTTTTATTAAGGTATTTTTACTACACTTTTTTCCAAGTACTTCATAGACCTGTGGTAGAAACACACCTGTTTGATGATGGACTTCAGCCTGGCCATAGCAATCACAGTAACCCACACTGACATGAGTGACCCCAGGAAGTCACAAAACTGCAGGACGTCGTACTCCATGATGCAAAAGACCACGATCCCCGGCTGGTCACATGCATGGTAAAACTAAAGGAAGAGATCAGAAGGCAAACATTTCAGGAAAACATGCAGCATAAATGGTAGAAAACATTTCAAAATGCAATGCTAGTCAAAAAAGTATCCCGATGTGTCACAATAATCCATTTAGAAAAATCTCTGGATTGGTTCACCAAAGAACCCATCCAAAGGACCTGACGCAACTTTTTTTTTAGATTAGGAAAAGGTGATCCATTTTACTGAGCACCAAATACATTGTTTTTTTTACAGAACAGGTTTTAGCTTTAAAGGGATCCATGATTAGTTGTAACATTAAACTTTATTTAATATACATATATTTTAACTGTAAAATAAAGACTGTAAAAATACTGTAGGATGTTCAGATTTTATCATTTTTAAACTAAAAGTTTAAAAATATATTACACGGACTGGCCATTTTATTTACACACAAAGCATTCTGGGTAAATGATGGTGTGGATAGGTCATCGGTGCGAGGCTGCTAGCGAGCTATATCCACCCTAAAGGTTAATCTTGGACAATATCTGACGATCGACTCTTTTAAATGAAACCAGAGAGGAGAAGGTAGAAATGACTCAGCCTGTAACTGAAAAGATGGATGGAGGACAACAGAGCTGCTTCATGGAAGAAGAACCCCAGCTTAGCCTGTTAGCTTTAGCATTAGCCCCAACGCTATCACCATATATATGTATTAGCTCAGCGCTACACATTCTTCTCTCGTCACTGAGGTCCTCCATCCACATGACAGAGAGGGGAACGCAAAAAGGACTCAGCCTGTAACTGAAAATATGGATGTAGGACCTCAGTTTAGCTTGTTTGTCGCGCTAGCACCGAGCTAATACATATAAGTCAGCGCGAAGGCTAACAAGCTAATGGTGCGTTCACACCAAACGCGATTTCAGCTTCAAAATCGCAGCCAACGCTGAAGTTTGAAGCTTGTGCACTTTGAGGTCAGACGCAGGTCAGCT